GGTAACAGGTGTTTCTTCTCTATTGTTATTGTTAAATGCCATTAAGTCAGTTCAGACTCATAGCAACCCTGTATAGGGTTTCCAAGGAGCAACTGGTGGGTTTGAACTGCCGACTTTGTGGTTCACAGTCCAGTGCTGATCCTATAGTACTTCACCAGGAATCTTTTCCTCTCTATACATCCTGATTAGTTAAATAATTTCTTAATGTTTAAAATGTAGTGATGAAAATATTATAAAAATAATTCAAAATGAGCATCCCCTGTGTTCACGTGAGCAAGAAAAGTAAGATTTCCCCCTTTTCCTCAAAGTCTTTCCACTGTAAGGTAAATGTTAAAAGATCAGAGCAATTTCCCTGGATCAGATCAGACATTTGGAGAGTTCAATGGAACCCCAAACACCTGCTTGAAAATTCTAGTACTATTAGCTTTACCAGTACCAGGAGCTGTGGAGTTGTTTCCAAGTAATGACTACCTAATGTGTGTCTGAGTAGAACTGTGCTCCCTAAGGTTTTCACTGGCTGATTTTTCAGAAGTAGGTTGCCAGGACTTTCTTTTGAGGTACCTCTGGTTGGACTTGGACCTTCAACTTTTTGGTTAGCAGCCAAGCATGTTAACCATTTGTACCACCCAAGGACTCTGCCAAAGTCTTGTTATTGTTATTAGGTGCTATTGTTTTTATTAGGTTTCTAGCTCATAGTAACCCTATGTATAACAGACTGAAACACTGATCTTGCACCACCCTCAAAATTGTTGCTTTGTTTGAGCCCATTGTTACAGCCATTGTGTCAATCCATCTTTGTAAAGGTTTTCTTAATTTTGCTTTCCCAACCGTAATGTCCTCCTCCAGGGAATAGTTCCTCCTGATATGTCCAAAGTATCTGAGATGAAATTTTGCCATCCTGGCCTCTAAGAAGCATTCTGACTGTACTTTGTTTAAGATAAACCTGTTCGTTTTTCTGGACCTTCATGGTGTATTCAATATTCTTCCCCAACACCATAACTAAAAGGCATCAGCTCTTCTTTGGTCTTCGTTATTCATTGTCTAACTTTGACAATGATTAAGTCATTGGCTTTGCAAAATTCTGTCATGTGATCTCCAGTATCATTTCTATCACCAAGATTACATTTTCCAGTTGCTAATCACTGAATGTTTTTAAATTGGGAAAGGTGTGCAACAAGGTTGTATTCTTTCACCGTACTTATTCAACCTGTATGCTGAACAAATAATACGAGAAGCTGGGTTCTATGAAGAAGGACGTGGCGTCAGGATTGGAGGAAGACTCATTAACAACC